GCGCCTCGGTGCCCGCGGGCCGGGCCGCCGCCCCGCCGGCTCAGCCTGGTGCCCCTGCGCGGCCTGGCCTGATCCGGCCCTACCGAGCCCCTCTCTCTCTCTCAGCCTCGGGGGCTGAAGCAGTGGAGGGGGGTGGGGGACACTGCCCAGGGCAGAGGGGAGGCCGCGTGGTATTCTGCTCAGCTTAGTTGGCTCAAAGGTATCAGGAGGGCTTGGCACAGGAGAAGGGAGCCTAGGACACAAGGTGCCAGAGGCCCAGATCTGCCAGGTCTAAAAACCCAGAGGTGGTGGCAGTGGGGAGCAGAAGCTGCTGAGACCTGCAGTGCAGGGGCTGCTTCATGCTTTTGATGAATGGGGTAGCCCTGAATTGGAGGCATCAAAGGTAGGTTGTGGGCCGTATCTGCCCGAGGAGTCCTGTGATCCAGCCCGTGCAGCACACGGAGCCCGTCTGGCGTACGGGGATTCAGTCAGGGGTGCGCTGCATGCAGCCTCTGTGCCAGACTGGTCCTGAGCACCGGCTCCGGGGCTGGTGTGGATCCAGCTGTGCCAGCGCTAGTACGTGGGGCTGGTGCAGTGGGACTCTGCAGGTAGAGTGTGCCCCGCGTGCCATTTGTGGCACGTGTGGCTGGCCCAGCCTTGCACGCTGTGAGGCATGTGCTGGCCCCACTCCGGCTCTTGCTACATGTAGATGCAGGTGACAACTACCAGTCCAACTTTCAAAAGTCTCTAGGTAATTTTTGAAAACGGGACCTTAATTTAGACATTTCTGAAAAAAATTATCTGAAATCTGAATTTGTGGAACAGCTTCTTCAGGAGTGAGCTAACTCTTCTGTATAGGAAATCTCTTTTATAAAGGAAATGTCATGGTTAAAACCAAAGGTACTGGGCTGTAGCTAGCGCAGAGCAGGTCACTTGGGAAGGCTAGAAAAATGTGGTGACTGGTACCTAAAAAGTTAAATTTTCTGTGACTTTATGTCAAGGGATTGTTGCCTTCAGCCCTGAGATTGTGTTAGAGCAGGGGTGGGCAAAATGCAGCCCTGGGGGCTGGATGTGGCTCACCAGGCCATTCTATCTGGCCTGCAGGGCCCCTAAAAAAATTAGAAAATTAATATTTATCTGCCCCTGGCTGTCTGTCATGGAGCCCTCAATGGCTTCCCAAAACTCAGTAAGCGGCCCTCTGCCCACAATAATTGCCCATCCAGAAAAGACAGATTCACAGGTGAACTGGGCTTCTAGATATATTTATTCAGGTGTACAGCAGCTGAACATAAAGTAGCTACAGATTCCTGTTGTAGTTAAGGTATATGTAACTAAAATGAAAGAAATCCTTAATGCCTCTCAATTCAGAAATAGCAAACTTAGTTACAAGCTAGTGCAAGTTAGCCTCTCTCCTCCTCACTTCAGTGGTTTGATGAGGAAAGAGAGTTCCAGTTGTACTCTAGAAGTTTTCAGAAAGAGGTTCAAATAGGCTAGTTATAAATTGCTTTCAGAGGACTTTGGTGGGAAAAAATGGTCAAGCAGATAATTAAAATCTTAAAAACCTCAGCAAAAAAGAAAGGGAAAAGTCTTATCCTGGGTAGTCAGGTTTTTTTTTCTTTTTTGAAAATCAAGTAGGGTGTTTACTTAAGTGAAACCACTCTACTGAAATGGAAACATTCTCCTAAAGATAAGATTGGATAAGTACTCTGTGAAGCACTACAGGGTAGATAAAGGTAGTGCCAACCTTAACACCTGATCAGACCCACATAATCATTTGCCACTAAGTCTTGCAGCTCACGCTTGCTACAAAATTTACATAATTTTTGTTCCCTGTTATCAGACTGGATGCATGCAGTTGTGGGTTGATGAGAATATACACAAAGTCTGCAAATGAGTTAACCATTTGTCCTTTCTCAGGCTATCATCAGGTGTACGTTTATACTAGGAGAAACAACTTTCTTTTAGGGGTGCATCAATAAAGATTTTCTTGGCTAATACTGATGGCTGATTATTAACTGGCCGTATCAGCTGATACTGATCCAATAGCTAATTTACAGGAATGTAGCTGGACAGCTTGGAGCAACCAGGTGGTAAATCGGGGGAGGTGGGGAGGGTAGATTGAGGCCCCCACAGTGAGGGATGGAGTGGGGCAGGGGCAAGTGCTACCCAACCAGGGCAGTGAATGCAACTCCACTGGGAGCAGTATGGAGCTGTGGGAGGCTCATCCAGGGTGCACGCTGTGCGCACCCCTGGCATAGCCATGGGGGGCATGTACCCCTCTCCCCCAGATTTGTGGGTGGGGTGAGGGTGGGCTGCCTGCTGTGGGCTTGGGGCCAGGGGCTGTGCCAGTCCTTTCCCGGCCATGGGGCTGGGCTTGGGGCGGGTGGGGCAGGTGGTGGTAGCACTAGGAGGGGTAGCTACAGTGGATTTTGGGGTGGCTATAGCCCACTCCGTAGCTACCCCTCCCAGCGCTGCTGCCTGCCCAGCCCTGGCCTAGCCCCCTTGTCGGGAAGAGGCTGGCACTGCCCCTGGCCCCAAGTCCACAGCGGGCAGCCTGCCCTTGGCCTGCACACAAATCCTGGGGTGCACATGCCCCCCCATGCCTCCCCCAGGGGTGTGCCCAGTGGTAGGGAGCTGACCCCTCTCCCCACCTCCTTCCCATGCCCCCTGGACAAGCCGCCTGTGGCTCCATCCCACTTCCAGCAAGGTCGCATTCTCTGCCTTGGCTGGGCACTGTCTGCCCCTGCCCCAGCCCCATTCCTTCCTTCACCATGGGAGCTTTGATCTGCCTTCTTCCCCCGCCCTGCCCTTTCCCCCTACAGACTTACCAGCCAGATGCTGCTCTCCAAGCTGCTGAGTTGCATTCCTGGCCCTGTGCATGCATGTTGCTGTGCGCGCACACATGCCATTTAACAGTGACATTACTGGCGACACCAGTCAAAAACCATGTGCCAATAATGTTAATTTTCCTTTTATTGGTGCCAGTCCAATATGCGACCGATATATCAGTGCCCCTCTACTTTCTTCCAGCATAGAAGCCAGCATACGTTCAAGGGGGTTTATGCGGAAGAAAGCTGGATCTTCAATGAAAAAATGAGTGCTTCTGACCAGGAAGTTCTCTTCCCCAGAAATTTTTTATCGCAAACTGAATGACTGGTTGCTTCTCTCAGGGTCCTGAGGACCGCTGTCATCTCACAGGAAGGGAAGAGTGCTAGTTTCCTGATGGTCTGCCCCACAGCAAGCTGTGGGAATCCTGCGGACAGACCCTTGAACAGTACCCAGACTATTTAAGTTGCTGGCGCCTCTTCCTTCTGATCCATGTGCAGACCCAAGTCACCACAGACCTGTGCAAGGGCAGGGGTGTGGAGAGCATTCTCCCTCATTCCCTGGTGAGCCCCAGGATAGTTGAGCACTGATTTACTCTGTACAGGATGTGGTTACCAGTCTGCGCAAGGGGCAGGCAGCATTCCATCATGGCAGAACCCAACCTAGGGATACTCCAGACAGCCCTGCTTCTTGCCCTGTGCAGGACCCTGGGTCACCTGGAATGACTTTGGCCTAGAAGTAGAAGTCAGTGGGCACATCTACATATTCACTAGTGGACTTTTGCTGCTGCTCATTACATTTAGTACCTCTAATGTACAGTACTAATGAAATGCACATTAGGCTACTGTAATGCACAGCAGCAAAAGTGCATGCTTTTTTTTAGTGATGCTTAATGTGCAGTAGCATAATTTTACTGCGCGTTAGTGTATCAGTATGGGTTTTGCTGTGGTGCTCTAATGTGCAGTCATATAGGCTACTGCTCATTAAAGCACATGTGTAGATGTGTCCATTGTTGCCTAGGCTGATGCTGTTTCTTGAAGCTATTAGGCTGCTGACATACTTTTGCAGTCTGACCCACTAGTGCAATATTCATGAAGTCTGTGGAAATTGAGCATCCCTTCTAATCTTGCTGCTAGCTTCAGTTATGATTACAGGCTGTAAGTTCAGTAAGCTTTTGAAGAAAGCATTTGTAGAATGTACAGGGAGCTTTTGTCTTAGTTAATAAAAAATGGAATCCAAAATAAGGGTTTTGAATTCACTCCCAATCAGTTTCTTTTAAAAGTACTTTTCTAGCTTCACTAATTGTGTAGATTTCCAAAATATGAAGTAACCGTAAATGAATGCATGCCAGAATCTTCAGACCACTTCAGGAAGTGTAGATTATGCCCTTTTCTGTCAAGGCCCTTTAGACTGAAAGCCATAAAATTTGGCGCTTTGCCATCATCCTGAAACCAAACACAAAATATCTTGTTTTGCTCCTGGCTGTGCTGGGCTGCATCTGTTTTTTTGCTCCCCATTTTTTTTAACGAGAATGCTAATTGGATTACTAAACACAGGCCATATACATACTAAGCAGCAGAGGCTGTAATTATGCCCCCCCCACCCTTTTTTTTTCTTTTTTGGATCTATCCTTTGCAGTCTTGACTTGTCTGACAAACTTAATCCAAAACACTTGCTAGAATGCTTATTAGCTACTGCAGTGCCTCAAGGAGTTGTCCCAGCAGCTGGCAAAAGATTCTGGGACATGTGTGCAACCATTAGGAGGAAATGGCATTGAGCCACTTGAAAATGAAAGGTCAATCTTCACAAAATTAAAAGCATGGACATTTTTAAGT